TTTTTAAGTGTTGATTCACTGTTTCTGTCTGACCCAAAGTCATTTTTCTTAATTGTCTGGCGTTGCCACCAACCCCCCCCCAATTCTATTATTTGGCCAGTTCTCCTAGCAAATATTTATCTAAAGATTAGTTCTGTCTGCTGGAGGGTATCAGGACAAATGAAATGAATGACATCACCACTATCAAGTAATCTGTCCTGTTTTTTAGATATTAAAAAAAAACAAACACTTTTATCAATATTGGCCAGCCTTTTGCCTGCACTGAGCCAGGAAAGGGACCTGAAACCATGTCACAACATCTGTAGAAGTTAATACTGGAGAAATAATGTCCCCCCTCGTATTCACTCGGATTGTGCCACGGGTACTGTGGTTATGATAGAGCTGCTCCTTCAGTTCAGCTGGTCGGAGTCGACGTGGCAGGGTGGTGTGAGCCTCCCGACACGTGGCCACGTGGGTGATCACAAACGCCTGGCAATCACTGGCTATAGTTTAATCACTGTAGTAGTTCCCTTCATTTCATAGCTCTGGGGGCGACTATAATTTGCTGGATGTAAATGACTCACCCAAGGCCCAAGAGCAAAGTCAAGGTGCCCTGCCTGACCCCTTCCTTCATTCCTCGCTGGTAAATCCTGGCTTTTCCCCTCCCCCCGCTGCTCTACAATGCAATCCCCCCCCTGGCTGGACTTTGGCCAGGACACCGTGGCTAACGCTTCCACATCTTTTTTTTTTTTTTTATGTAAACTTGATTTATGACTTTGATCTTATTTTAAATAATTTAAAAATTAAATAATGTATACGGCGTCTGTCAGGTTCCTGAGCTCCTTCCTTTGTTCTGGCTTTTCTCTTCTTCATTTTCCTAGCCATTTTCCTTCTGCTCTTTTGTACTTTCGTTATAAACGGATTCCCCTTTCCATGGGGCGGCATACCAGAGCAATGCTAGAAAACTACTAGGCAGACGTGCAAGAGCTCAAGAAACTTTGTTATGGGGCTCCTTTAGACCTGCTCTCTATTACTGAGTTTAATATCCTCTGTCGAGATGTGTTACCCTTGGTTTAGATGTTGGCTGGTGCTCTATGCATGCATTAAATACAATCGAACATTGCTCAATCACATGGGAACATTATTTAGGGTGGGAAGGCTCTGCAAAGAGAAAAGCACCCGTTGGGTCTGGGATCTTATCAGACTAGTCATCTTGGCTACACATGCACACTAGAAAAGGGATGGGGTGGATGGAAATGTCGACTTCTTGAGTGACAACAAAGGGGCCAGACACAACCTTGCATCTACCTGCCTGGTCCCACATGAGGGTGGAGATGCAAAGGGCGAACCTCCACATCCTAACCTAGAGGACAAGGAAGGGGCACGCAATGGCCGCTGGAGAAGCACCCCGGCTCTGTAGAAAAGTCTCTGTAAAGACCTAGCCCATTTCTAATGGAGCGACATTAGATAGGAGCTAGTGTCAAGGTGCAGGACTGCTGCATTAGCTCCCCTGGCCTTCTGGGGTGACTGAAGGCTCTCATTGGCGGGTGTCAAATGAACCCATTTAGAGCAGAAATGTTAAGGAGAAAGGTTTTGAGTGCAAGCACCAGTCCTTTGTGCTAGATGTGCATTAAGGCCATTGTTATATGACCTCCTAGGGAGGCCAGGCACAATGGGAGATGGTGCTCGGCACAGTTATAGCCAGAGTAAAAGACAGTCACGGTCCTCAGGGCTTTACAATCCAAATAAGGACCATTGTACCCAGCTTGCAGACTGGGAAGTGAGGCACAGAGAGACTAAGTGACTTGACCAAGGTCACAAAAGGAATCGGCGGTTGAGGTGGGACATGCGCCTGCACCACCGCAGCCCTGCTCTAGTGCTTTCCTCCTTGGATCACTCTTCCTCTCAGCTTGACTTAGCTCTTCAACTTGAACGGCATCATCACGCCAGGAGAAAAAAGCACTTCTCCCTCTTCCTCCCTTCCTTTCTCCCTCTCTCTATCTCTCCATCTCTCGCTGGCATTTATGAGGTGCCAATCACCCTGATATCTAAGCGCCGGCAGTCCAGTGTGGCTTTACTGAGACCAAAGGACCGTCATACAGACCTCACGCTTCACTCCCTGCCTTTTGTATGCGATGCCGAGATGAAACCGATAGGAAGAGACACAGATAGAGGCTGATTGAGGGACGGGATCCGAGCACGCTCTGGGTGCGCAGACACCGCGCACAAACACGATCCCGGCGTTTCGACAGCTCTGAAGTCCCTCGGGTAACTGGTGTCACCGGCTTGTCATCTCCACTTGGTCAAGCTCTAAAACTTTGTTTCCCCCCTTCTTAGCATATTTATATAGGCCCAATCCTGCTCTTCTAGGAAGAAGCTCCCACTGCATTCGCTGAGAGTAGGAGGAGGCCCAGTCGCTGCTCTGACCCTTTCTTCAGAGACAAATCCCTGTTCGAGTGCCTGCCTCCCCTGATTTCTTTTCCTTCTCCTGGGGAAAAGAGATGCCAAGGAATTCCTCTTGCTAAAAGTAAAGGGCTGGATTGCACTGCTAGTTTCCCCAGGTACATGCAGACTTATTCCATGACTACTTCCATCAGGACCATTACTCTGACTTTAATTGGGTGTAAGTGAGGCCCAGGGTGCACGGTGGGGAAAAAGGATTAGGTGAACTCAGTGAAATGGGGTGTTGCCATGGGGGGGAATCAGGGTGCCTGCATGTCTGTATGCCTCCCACTTGCTGAGAGGTGGCCAGTTGCTCTCTGCAAACAGGTGATGACTTGCCCTCTCACCACCTCGTTCAGAGGTGCTGTAATAGGTCCCACTGCAAGCAGCTGCTCCAGACTAGCTGCACTGCATCCCAGTATGACTGGCACGGGTCTACCAGACCCACATAAATCCCATCATTGGAAATGCATTGCGAGTCCAGGCCTCGAGAGCAAAACTTAGCCTGGAGCAGCGATTCTCAACCAGGATGCCATGGCACCCTGCAGTGGCTTGGAGATCCTTTCGAGGGTGCCATGGGATGCCACACCATGTTAGTACTGTTAGGTTGGCAAGCATGATTTACAAGATAAACCCAGAGATTTCAAGCTGTCTGAGTCCTTTGCAACAATAAAACTGATTCTATTGTTTTTCTGTAGTCAAAAAAAGCGTGAAAACAAAGAGCTGGCATTTAGTTTATCCAGAGGTGCCTGAAGTCTACCCAGGAGTGCACTGAGCCTAAAATAGATGAGACACCCTGGCCTATGGGGTCCAGATGGTGAGCACCTCCACGCACATCTATCTACATGCCTACTTGCTTCAGCAACTGTGGGGGTTGTCAGAGAAGGTGGGAATGAAAGGATGGGCAGAAGGGAGGAAAGAAAGAACAAAAAAAATGACCGAAGGAAGGAAGGAAGAGCGGTGTAGGGAAAGCAAAGAAATGGCTTGGCTCTTGGCAGGCATTTCTGCCTGGGAAGTCACTGTCAAATCTCTCTGCCTGCCCTGAGCTCTCATGGACCTCCTGGTCCCCCGCTGATGCTGATACACTGCAGGGGCACTGACACTGCATCCTCCAGCTGGGATGCCCCGGGCAGCAGTCGCTGTGCTCAGAGACGCCTGCCCGTGTCCTGGAGGTGCGGCGTGTCAGAGCACACCCCTGCTGACTGCAGCAGCCTTGTCCTGCTTGAAAGGCTAGCGGAGCGCAGTCAGGGACACATGGGGAGAGGAGGGCTCATTCATCATGCGGGGAGGAGAGCAGGGGCGGGGGGCGAGGGCTCCTCGCTGAATGACTGGGAAATCAAGAGGATGGGGAAAAAATACCGGAGCCTGCTTGATGGGGGAGGGAATAATAATTATAATAATAATAATAATAAAAAAAAAAGCTCTTTGCAGCCAGGTCATGCAAGCTGGGAGGGGAGACGGGGGGATTTCATGGAGACTTTGAGGTGCATATGATATTTGGGGAGAAGCCAGGGAGGGTGCTGAGCTCCCCCAAGGAGAGCTGCTGGGGTATGCATGGGTTTCCAAGTGATTCAGTGACCTAAAGGATGCTTAGGCCCTCACTTCAAAAGCAAAGGCAGAATAGATATCATAGATTTCATAGACATTAGGGATGGAAGGGACCTCGGAAGAGTCCAGCCCCCCGCCCAAAGGGCAGGAAGTCAGCTGGGGTCAGAGGATCCCAGCAAGATAAGCATCCAATTTGAATGGGGAAGGGGCTGTGGTGGACTGAATTTAGGGCTCACTTACGAGTGGGAGCTGATTGCCCAGCAAGGGAAGTCTAGCGGATGCAGTGGGATTGAGGTGCACTTGGGTCCATCTTGGCCACAGGCAGTATCAGCATGGGCAAAGTCAGGAAGGTTTTGTCTACGCTGCCTCCACGCTGCACCCAGGAGAGCCAGAAAGTGGTCCTCAAGCCCTCCCTCTTGCTCCCCACACACCAGATCCCAGAAATGAGGCAACAGAGCTGTCTTAGATCAACCCTGAGCATGTGCCAGTAAAGCAGGCCTGAGCCAGACGGCCCAAGAGTGGCGCTGGGTATACTTTCAGCCTGCTCCAAGGTGGCTTTGTGCCTCATTTTTGGGGGGTTGGCACCTCGCTGAATGGGAGCGAGAGATCAGGAGGTCTGGGCAGGTTATCTCACCACCGTGTTGTTCGAATAAGTAAGGGCTGGCTCAGACCAGAAGTAGTGTTGCACATGGTCACCAGCTTACCAGAATTTGGGTTGTGAGACACGGAGTTGGTTGTGGCCCCATAAAAGCAGGGACGGCTGGCTCAGACAGTCTTGAAACCTGTGTAGCAGTGTCTGGATGCAGCAACTATTTTAACCCCCGGTGCCTATCTGAGAGATGATCCAACCTGCGTGAGACTGGGTGGCTCCACGATCTCAGCCTCGGCATGCAGAGCCAATTCAATGAAGGAATCACATTAGTGTCATTCTTTCCTCCCATATGGTTTCTCTTTGTGTTGGGCCCTTGGTTGGTGGGTGTCCCATTGTCCCCAGCCCATTGTAACATGCTGGGAGATGTAGCTATACTTACTGCCTGTGCATAGGCGCCGTACGCTCCAAACTGGATAGCCATGGGGTTGAACATGCCCATCTGTCCTGCCATTTGCTGCATGCGCCTCATTGTACGCTCCTTGTCCGTGTCTGCGAATTTCACCACCAGGCTTGAGGAGGCTCCCTGGAGGAAGGGAAACCAAAAGAAAGAGCACAGGGGAATTTTCCCATTAGTTGCCAGTGGAACCAAACCATATCTGCAAGTACAATGGAGACAGGATGGTGTTGGTTTCTAGCTGGCCCCCAAAGCAATGCTCAACCCAACCAACCTTCTGTGGTGTTTCTCTTTCACCCCATCTCAGCATGGTAAGAGTAGCAGCAAGGAGGGATAGACGGCTCTATGGGGTAGTATGAGTGATGCTCCCATTTATCTCTGAGCGTCTGGTTTCTTTGCTGCAAGCTCAATTCTCTCTGCAAAGAGGCTCAGGGAGAATTCACTGGCCCCTTAACTCTCACTCGAGTGCAAAGATGCAAAGGGCAAGCTGCTGCCATTGCACTGAGACTCAGTAACCCTGGAAAGGGTACCTAGCAGAGGTGAAGGGGGGATCTGCTCTGCTGAGCCTGCAAAGCTTATTAGCTGCAGTGAGGAGAGCCTTCCTCATCTCAAACCATTAGCTAGCAAAAGCAATAAGATGGCAAAGCACTTTCTGCAAGATGACAGACGGAGCCTGCAGCAGTGAGGAGCAAACCCTTTTCATCAAACCCGCAGGCTACTGTAGTGGACCTGATTGTGCTGGGTGGCTTTCTAAAGACCTCAGCATTGACCGGTCTGCTTCTATTCGAGTCAGTGAAAAGTGGAGCCGAGATTGGTGAGCTAATGGTGAGCACTTGGGAAAACCTCATCCAGCTGGGTTGATTTGCCATTTAGAGGAGTGCACAGCAGGCACACGGCTATTTGTCACGTGCATTAGGACTGCAGTAGAAGTACAGTAAAGGTAATATCTGGAGAGGGCTGGAAGAAGTGTCTTAGCTACAGCTGGGAAATAACATGTCTGTCAAATGCATGGACACTCAAGCTACTCATGAAACTAGACCTATTTCCATTTGCTTCCCTTAACCAACTGATGTTTTCTTTTCATTTTGGAGACCTTGATCTTCCACCCAAATGAGGAAACCCATCAGCTTCCCTAGCAGGGGCCTGGCAGGCTGCAATTAGTCATGAAATAGGATGCAGGACACGCGTGCACGTTTTACTCGTCGGTCATTTTGATGCTCAAGAACGTGGCCATAATCTTCCTAGACACATGTTAGTCTTTCAGCAAATGTCTTGGTGGAGTTACAAGCAGCGCAGCTTCCAAGCGCAGTCACTTGCGGACGCAGCCATGGTAGCAATAGTATAAACCCTAATGTGGGGGGATCCAGGATTTTAAAACGTGGGGGGGTGAGAACAGCAACTGGCAATGCAACCCCTGCTTCCAGCATCCCCTGCTACCTCCCCTACAGAAAGAGCATGCCATGGGAGTGGCAGGTGGCAAAGTCAAGTCCCCAGGCAAGTACAAATCTGTGGCTGATTATTGGGTGACCGCTGGAGTGGGCCAGAAAATGGCCTTTTTAATCCTGAAGAAAAAAAAAATAGGGGGGGAAAAAAAATCACCCTGACTTAGGAGAAAAGGCCCAGAGTAGGAAGTATTTTATGGGAGTGTCTCATGTGAAGTCCGCCAGGAGAACTGGATTTTGTGTCTTGCTCCCTGTGCTTCCTGGCTGCTGCATTGCCCTGTTCCCCATGAGACCAGCTACCCACGAAAGCTGGGGTCCCACCGTGCCTGGGAGCTGGCAGGGGCAGGCAAACAGGATGTCAGAGGACTGACAAATCTTCGTCGAAGCTGAGCCGTTCCCATGCAACATTTCACTTTTGAGGAATTGGCTTTTTCCAATGGAAAACCCTTCCATCAGAAAATGTCTCCCCAGCTCTAGAGGCAGCACCAGTCGTGGCACATGCTTTCCACGTTGCCGGCCACGGATACTAATTTGGTTTCTGTGCACTGTCATGGGGGGCAGGAGGAGTACGAGTCAATTGCTTTCATCTTCCCGCTCCGTTCCAACCAAGGCAGAATTGCTTTGCTGTTAGCTAGAACAATCTGATTAAGATGCTATAATACACATACATGTGTTTAAATGCAATATATGCATATGCAACAGCCTCTCCACATCCTCGGTTATGAATAAAGAGTTGAGGAATTAATATGCTAAAGAAACTAATACGAGGGCACACAATGAACAATGTTCCCCTGGATTAGCAGCACATTCTGGGATTTCAGTGGTGAGGAATCTTTCTTTTTTGACCTGTCACTCTCTCTCCCTCTAATAAATCTATAACCCACTTGAACAATGTGGAGCAGAACAAGGGAGTGAAACAAATGGTTTAGCAAAACAAAGGGAGGGAGAGACGAATGCTCTATTCAAGGATGTAGAGTGGTATCCAGGAGTTATTAAGAGAGCAAAGCAAGGGGGGGAAAAAAAATCCACATTCACCAGTTTTTCTGCTCAAGGCTGGGCAACTTCTCATTTTTTTTAATCACCTGATGTAGCTATTGATCCTTTCCCAAATCACACTCTTAATTGCAGCTCATCGACAAATGAATATTTTAATGCATACATTTCCTGCTAATTATCGCCCAGACCAGTCCTTAATTAGATGTCAACACTCATTTAATTAACCCTGATCCAAGAGGCGGTTTGGTAACCTGGATCTAACGATCTGAACCTATTTGCAGCTGTATTGGAGAGAGGCACTGGTCCACAGCTGACCGGGTGGCTCAGTATAGCTACCGCCACCCTTGTGCCTAGTGGTGCTGAGAAAGCACGCAGCTTTCAATGATGCAAGTTTGTTTTTTTTTTAAATGGATAAGGTGAACTACTGCTTATGTCCGAATATATGTCATGAAGCAAAGTATGATTTTTTGGGATAAGGCACTAGGATGAGAGCAGGGAGCTGGATGGTTAGCAGGGTCTGCCGCCAACCCACCGCATGAGCAAAGCCCATCACTTCCCATTTCTGTCCTGCCTTCCCTGTTCACACAGAAACTTCCCAGGGCTTGAGCACTTCTCGACCGATGTGTTTCTTAGACCACCTGTCAAAAAGGGACCCTGGTCTTGTCTGGAGCCTTTAAGCACTATCCTAATAGAAACACGGTAGAAACACCATCTGTAAATCTGATAGCTGTAATCAAGGCCTCAGACCCCCCATCAATAATCCCTGGCTCCACAGGCGGACATGGTTTTTTGAGTAAATCTGATATCTTTTATTAGACCAGGGACGGGCAAAATGTGGCCCATGGGCCGGATGCAGTGCCGCCAGGCCATTCTGCCCCCAAATTTAGAAAATTAATATTTATCTGCCCTGGCTGCCTGTCATGCAGCCCTTGATGGCTTACCAAAACTCACTAAGTGACAAAATAATTGCCCGCCCCTGTATTAGACCAACTCAAGTCATTGGAAAAAAAAATGTTTGAGCAAACTTTCGGGTTTAAAAAACCCTTTGTCAGGCTGAGGAAGCGTCTGCAGTCGGTTTATCCTTAGACCAACACGGCTACAATCTACACCCCTGAGTCCACGGGGCGTTTGAACGATGAAGACACTCACATTTCACAAGTAGTCAGAGATCCTCAATTGAAAGTTACTCTGTACTGTGCTCTGTACTATATCTCGGGGATTTGCAGAGCAAAAAACCAGGAAGGATGTGAGTTCCTGCTGAACGCCTCATCCCCGCCACCTACTTTTTATCATTAGCACTATTACCCCCCCATCTAATTTTTATCATTAGCATTATTATAAAAGCTCAGTAGTAGAGACCATAGTCTCGAGAAGCAGATACTCGTGGGGGTGCTCCAAAGTCCACTGAGGTCAACAGGAGCCTTCCCATTGCCTCTGGCAGGCTTTGAGTGAGGCCCCGCGGACACGAAACATGTATTTCTTCTCTCAAAGTCTGTGCAGAATGGGAGGTCATTTCCATCACTTCCTAGCTCCTTCGTAAGGTGCTTTGATACCTAAAAGGCTGGCAGAAGGGCGCAGCATCACCATTATCATTATTAATAATATTATTTCTTCCCATTTTCTCTACAGCCAGCAAGTTTATCCTGATCCCCTTGTCGGTAATGTATGGCTCCCCTTCGTCGGGAGTCAGACTTTCTCCAGACGAGCATCGCGAGGAAAAAAATGGAGGGAAAATCGCCCTGCACCACACTCACTTTGTAATCCCTAATCAGAGTCCTCCGAGGGAAAAACTAATTTCCCAGCCTGTCTTGACGTGTGAAATAAAGTCATTCTTGAAAACGGGTGCTTGACAGGTCGCTTGTGAAATTTCATATTCAACTAAAAATAAAATATCCATCCATTGATATTTCATTAAAAGGCCCAGAAAACAAATCTTTTTCCTGGTGGTTGAGCGTGTTTCCCATTAGTTATGGCCTTCCAAATGGAGTGTATACACAAATTAAGAATAAACTTGAGAAAGGGACTGTATAACACGGCAGAGCCCTACATTTCATACAACAAAAAACCCAAAGCAGAAAAACACCCTAGGAAATTACTTTCTTGCAAAACAAGGGGATGCATTTATTTTTTTTTGCAGTCAGCTCATAAGCCTAAATACTGTTCATTTCAGGGGCAACTAGTCCTCCGAATATTTAGACTTGTTTTTCAGAGCACGCTCATTCATTTTTTGCCCACTTCAGCAACTGTCTTGAGCACGTGCTTAATTTTAAAAGCCTGAATCTGTGAGGAATTGTAGCCTACATCATGCATAGGTCAGCTTCTGTCCACTGGTTAGCTCAGTGGTGGGGTGGTCTACAGTCTGGGGCCAAGTGTAAAAAGAAACAGGTCCGTACAATTAGGTTCCTGGGATTTAACAGTCTAAGGGCACGTCTTCGCAAGACGCTTACTGTACATCACCTAATAATACTGGGTGCATCTACATGTGCACATTTACTATGCAGTAAATGCAGGTTTCAAATTTACACCCGCTTAGTTACTGCTCAGTAATGCATGTGTAGACACCTTACTGCACAGTAACACTGCGGACTGACTTTGGACTAAAGTTAGTGGGCTGGTGTTTATATGTGCAGGGATTAAATTGCACTAACGCTCTGTGTGGACTGACTTGGGACTGAAGTTAGTGCATTGGGA